ATTAACTTCCTCCTATATTTGTTCCATACTTCTAATATATTGCTCAACATTGGGTTTCTAATTTCCCTAATTTCTTTTCTAGTAAACTGTTTAAAAAATATATTCCAAGTTTCATCTTCCACTTTTCCTGAATCATTACTAAGCCAATCTATTCCCTCTTCTTTGACCATTCCTTCTATAACCAAACTTAATCTACTTGCTTCGTAATATTTTTTTATATTAGGTAACGCCAGTCCACCCTCCTTTTGCGATCTATACCATAATTGTTTATTTAGTCTGTTCCTTTTACTTCCATTACAGTACTTATTAATCATTTGTTGCCATCTAGTTAGTTCTTCTTCTGTAATTTGAAGTGGTAGCATCCTAAATAAACAAATGAGAGCAGAGTTGGACGCGGAACGAAAAAGCTCGGACGAAAAATTTCAGACAATAAGAGAAGCCCTGGAGATTGCACAGGGAGAAATACGAAAAAATAAAGCAGAAATTGAAAGAAGTACACAGGAACAACTGGTACTCAAACAACAAACGCAAAAAAATGAAAATAGGCTCTCTGACATGGAAAGAAAGTTTGTGTACATGCAAGACAACCAAAGAAGAAATAACGTAATAATAAAAAACTATCCAGAAGGAAACAAGAAAGAAGATCTGTAATCTGAGATCTTGAAATGGTTGCAAAAGATCTCGCCAACACTAAACTGGTCAGAACTGGATATTGAGAGAGTTCATCGCCTTCCAGCTGGAAGAAATAGAATAATTCCTAGGAACATAATAATTCGATTTCACAATTTCGCAAAGAAAGAAGATTTGATGAAAATATTAAAGAAAAATCCAGATTTCCTAAAGATGGGTGACTCAAAATTGGAAATATTTAATGACTATTGTTCTGAAACTAAGAATTGGAGATATTCAATGAAGCCTATTACGACGCAGTTAATGAAAGCTGGAATTGTGTACACCTGGGGATACCCTATCTTTCTTAAATTTCAATGGAAAGGCAAGAGATATAGAATTGATACACCGGAACAAGGCTATCAACTACTGGAGGAGCTTGGCATAGTAAGAAGACAAGAGAGAGATCGAAAGGAAGAGGAGGTGAAGGATCCGGATGGAGGAGAATTGGAGGAATTAATTGGTGCCGTTGGAGGAATCGAGATGTAAGAAGAAATTATACACTGCAATCAAGTTTTTTTGTTGAATTAAAATGAGCACTCGGGGGGAGGGAGACTCTGGGCCACGGGATGACTTCGCCCCCCCTCCCCAATTGGGAAGGCCGGGGGCCATGATTGGGACGAGTAGTCCCGAAGATTGGAAGGGGAGGAAGGGGGGAATGAGGGAAGTGGGGGGATTGGGGGGGGAGGGGGGAATGGGGAGAAAGGGTAGGGGAGGGAAAGGGGCAAGGGTTCACGTTGTTTCAAGCCACAAAAAAGCTTTTAAAGGGAAATGGAAACGATGTCCCATAAATTAAGAATTTCAACACTTAACACGAGAGGGTTGGGGACGGTAATTAAGAGAAGGCGGATTGAATCTTTACTGAAGAAGGATGCAGCGGACCTCATCTTCTTACAGGAAACACATCAAAATAGGCGGGGCTCAAACGAGCTAAAGTCGAGTTGGATAAGGAACTATGAAACATCTTTTGGGTCATCAAAGTCAAGAGGAGTAGCAATAATAATAGCTAAGAAATGTAATTTTGTCATAAACAAGGTATTGAAAGATGAAGAGGGAAGATATATAATAATATATGGGGAAATAGGGGAGGAAAAATATGTATTAGTAAATGTATACGCACCAAATGTAAAACAGCAAGAATTTTATGAAAAAGTGTTAGAGCAAATAGAGAATTACCATCAACAAAACGTAATATTTGGAGGAGATTGTAATTGCTGTATGGATTTAAAGAAGGATAAAACTACGATAGCATCAAAAGTTAGAAATATTGAAACAACGGAATTAAGTAGAGTAATGAATAAATGGCAATTAAAGGACGTATGGAGATTGGTAAAAGGGAATGAAAGTAGATATACATACTACTCATCGGTACATAAGGTGTATACAAGAATTGATTATATTTTTGTCTCCAAAAATATGACAAGTAAAGTACTAAATGCTGATATAGGTATGATTAAGATTTCGGATCATGCTTTGGTTTCAATTGAGATTGTGTTGAAATGTGATTATGACAAAATGAAAAGGTGGAGGTTAAATACAAGAATACTAAATCACAAAGAAATAGTAGATAAAGTGCAAGCAGAATGGCAAGAAATTTGGGGTTTTAATGAAAAGGGGGTGACAAAGGGAGTTCTATGGGATACTATGAAAGCAGTGACCAGAGGGTTATGCATAAAAGAGACAATTAACTTAAGAAGAAGGCAAGAAGAAAGGAAAAGGAATTTAGAAAGAGAAATAGAGGAGATTGAAAAAGCATATGTAATAAAGAGAGATATACGAATTTATGCTAGGCTAAGAGCAAAAAAAGAGGAATTGGATAAAATGGAAATAGACGAAGTACAAGAAAATTTAATTTATTTAAGGAGGGAATATTTCGAGTTTAGTGATAGGAATTCAAAGATGCTAGCCAAATCAACACAGAAAAAGAAAATGGAAGGAATGATAAATATGATAAAAGATAAAACAGGTAAATTATGTAGAGCTATGAAAGAAAAATTGAAAGTATTTGAAGAATTTTATAAAGAACTGTACCAAACCAAAGCAAGCCCCATAGAGGCAATTAGGAAATATGTGGAGGAAAATTGGGAGAGTAAGCTGGAAGAGAAAGATAAAGAATTACTGGAACAACCTATTAAGAAAAAAGAAATAGAGGAAGTTATTAAGAAATTAAAAGTTGGCAAAGCTCCGGGCTTGGATGGTCTAGGGACAGAATATTATAAAAGCTTTAGAGAAGTTTTAACCCCAAAATTATTAGAATTGTACAATGGAATAATGAAGGGAGATAAAATACCCGAATCATGGAGGAAATCATTAATAATATTAATACCTAAACCTGATAAAGACCTAACAGACCCAGGGTCATATAGGCCCATATCATTAATTAATCAGGATGCAAAGATATTGTCCGCAATAATAGCTAATAGAATGAATAAATGTATGTATAAGTACATAAAAGAAGATCAGTGCGGGTTTATAAAAGGAAGACAAATGTCAAATTTGATAGGGAGAGTACTAAATAAAATTCATTGGGCTAAAGAGAGGAAAGAAAAAGCAGGGATATTATCATTAGATATTTTTAAAGCGTTTGATTGTGTGGAATGGGAGACATTAAGGGAAATACTGAATAAATTCGGAATGGGAAATAGAATAAAAGGAGTATTAAAACAATTTTATTCAAGGAACTCGGCAGTGGTAACTATAAATGACGGAGTGACAAACGAAATAAAAGTGACTAGAGGAACCAGACAAGGGTGCCCTTTGTCCCCGATACTATTTGCCATGGTGATAGAACTGTTTGCTAATAACATAAGGAATGACAAAAATCTAGAAGGGTTAGGAAAAAAGGAGAAACAGAAGGTGAGTTTATTCGCTGACGATACATTGTTATTTATAGAAAATATAGTGGAGAAAATGGATAGAATAAAAGAACATTTGGAGATATTTGGGAAAGCAACAGGCTTACAAGTTAATTGGAGTAAGTCAGAAATGATGCTACTTAATTATACAAGAGAAGAAGAAAAAGATCTTATAGAACAGAGCAAAGGGGGAATAAGAATCAAGAACAAATTAAAATACTTGGGAGTAATAATAACTAAGGATTTAAAAGAGATAGAGGAAGTAAATGTAGTAACATTAAGGAAAGAAGTCCAGAAAAAGTTAATAGAGTACGAAGGAATACGCTTATCATGGTTTGGAAGAATAGCATTAGTAAAAATGAAAATACTTCCAAAAATAAATTTCATATTTGGGATTTTGGTTCTAGTACTCCTGTGGATACCACAATCCCTAGATGCTTAAGTCCCAAATATATATGTATGTTGTCATCATAAAATGGCACCGCATTTCAAATAAGTTGATTTTCTTCCTGTCAGTCTCCCTCACTGTCTAACTTTCCCATACACAGAAATCGGAAATATTCTGTACCCTTTTTTTTAGGTTCATCTTCTTTTCTGCTGGAGGCTCGGGGCAAGTCGCTACTAGAAACAATTTTTTTTAAAGATCACTGCACACATGAAGATTTATGTTCCATCTCCTCAAAGGCCAATCCTATCCTTCATTTCCTTAACACACTTCCCTGTCATGCTGGACGTGACTGTTGTGGTCCAATGATTGCAATGGCTTTTTAGTCTCTAAACCAGGGAAGCAAAGGACTTTTGCTACTCTTATCTGCTGTGGTGATCCCGTAGATCATTGGTCTCCAACTGATAGATCACGATCCATTGTTAAGTCACTGTTAAGTGCAAACATACCAAACAGTGGCCTTCTAGGAATTCTAGGGATTGTTGTGCTGCAACTCCCATGATGCTTTACCATTGCATATACTGTCTAGGGCAGCTGAGAGTTGCAGTTCAACATCTTACAGGACTAGAGTCCTCAAACTCCTGATAGGTTTGAGAAGGGCTCCACAGAACCATTTGTAATTGTGTTGTCAAGTCTTTGAATCGCTGTGGGTCAAACTCCCATTGACGAATTCCTCTTAAATACATAATTATGCTCCAGTTTAAGACATAAGTGAATAGCACCAGTACAGGGTGGTGATCAAAGTGTTGGATTATGACTTCGGAGGTCCAGATTCAAGTTTTTTCATGGATTCATGAAACTTGCTGGAGAACATTGGACTCACAAGAGGTGGGATTTTGACCAAATCAAGATGACAAGTAGAAATGGCATTTGAATACCCAGGTTGGCTTCAATAGAGATCTGCCATATGTTACTATTATTGGGAGGGGTTTCCTCACTTCTGCTTGTCTTTTCTCCGACAACAAGAATGACTCGTTCCCCAGCCCAGTCCTTGGTACCTTACGTTATCAATCCCTTTTTATCTTCTGCAGCTCCAGCAAATATACCAGCTCACAAATCCAGGGATCGCTGAGGTGGCCCTCCGCCAGGACAAGAAGATTTTGGCAACAGCCGGATGGGACCATCAGATCCGGCTCTTTGGCTGGAAGAAGCTGGCACCTCTAGCTGTCCTGGACTACCACACAGCAGCCGTGCATTGCATGGCCTTCTCGGACCACAGTCGACCCAGTGAGAGACTCCTGGCAGCTGGCTCCAAAGATCACCGAATCAGTGTCTGGTCCATATATAATGAAACTTGAACATGACTGGAAAGGCCTGGGGACTTTGGGGGACAGTTTTTTATGACAAGGTGTGGGGCAGCCTTCCAAGTTCTCCTGATGTATTTCACTAGTCTCCCATGGATGCCGGCCCCAGGATTAGGTGGTGGCACTTGTTGCTCTTGTTTGGCAGCCCAAATGGGGACCTGGCATAGTGCCATCTCTTAATAGAAACACTGCCACATTCTTACACACATTTCCATAGGAGTTCTGCCCCAGAGGAAGCAGCAGGACTTTTTTTCAGAGTAAGAGGAAGTCCAGAAAAGATCGTGATGCCTCCTTTGGGTTGAACCTGGGGAAGGGTCTTGATCCATTCCTCTCCGAAGAAGCAAGGGGCTGCTAATATGTAAGGGGGAGAAGCCAGGCTAAGTACATCCGGTTTGTGTCTCACCAAAACCAGTGGGACAAATTAGTCATGACTCATTTAACCCCTGTTAAGTTCAGCAAGTGTGACTGGCTGAAGACTTTATCACACAAAACTTCTAAAGTGTAATTGTGGCAGAATAATAATAAAATAATAATACAACTTTATTTGTATCTCACCCTATCTCCCCAAGGGGACTCGGGGCAGATTTCAACATAACAATGGCAAACATTCAATGCCATGATACTAACATAAAATCCCAGGAAAACCCCACATATAAAAGTAGCATTAAAACCTAACATCAAATTAAAAACCTAACATCTGTAAATTAAACCTGGCATCAATAAATTAAGCTACACGTAGTCAGACAAAATTCTATAATAACAAATCTAAAGAAAACATCCACATTAATGTACAACAGCCAGAAAGGATTCACAAAACGGTGTGAGTCATTGGGCTGGTGCAGACCAGGAAGCCCAAATACAAATAGTTCTCAACCAGAGGCCTGGCAATGATCTCCCAACCATCTAATCCTCCTCTGAATATGCTAGTGAGCAAAAGTAGGTCTTCAGTTGTTTTTTAGAGGAGTGGAGGGAGGGGGACAGCTTTAATTTTTTAGGGAGGGAGTTCCAGAGGTGGGGGCAACCACAAAGAAGGCCCTCTCTCTCATTCCCACCAGCCGTGCTTGTGATGGGGGTGGGACCAACAGCAGGGCCTCCTCCGGTGACCTCAATGCCCGGGCTGGTTTGTAAGAGGAAATGCAATAAAAGTGCTTGATGGTATTGTGGCTGCCCCATAGTCACATGGTGGGGGAAAAGAATCCAATATTGCTGCTGTTCTGTTGTTCTCCCCTGTGTGATCCATCTTTTTCTGCCACAGTCCCAGTATTGTGAAACAGAGGAAGGTCTTATGAGAATGCTGAAGCTGCGTATTGTAGCAAAATTGGGAAGGGAGAATTTAAGATCAATAGGAACAACTGTGTAGGTTAAACACAGATTGGAAGGGTGATTGTGTGGAAGACAGATTATGTGAGTTTGCCTCAACAAAGTGCCAGCATCACACAACTGTAGAGGAGCAAAAGAGATTGTTCCAATAATTCTTAAATAATGCTTTTGCAACAAGAATACAGGCTGGTGGGATACAGTCCTGAGTTGGACCTCCTACCACAGCTTTCATATCTTGAACATGGAAAATCCCTTGACCTTGGTAGATATTATACAAGTGGGTTGGGGATCCAGTGGCCCCCACTCTGTTTTTGGACTGCAATGCCCAGCGTTTCTTTTACCTGAGTTGAGGGCACAGTGCAGGTCCTTAGGAAGAGTCCCTTGGCCCCTATGGAGCATATCCGGGGTGTTTGAGAGCTTCCCTTTGGAAGTCTGATGAGCCGGCTTCCACTGAGCACAGCTGAACCTGCCCAACTCAGAATCCACCCTCTAATGCCATAAATGCAAAACATCCTTTTGCAACATTTAACCCTGTTTGGGGGATAGGGGTGTTTTCTGTTTTCCTGTGCTCCTCTTGATGCTGTCTTCTTAGGGCTGTCTTTAATTTGTTCACACTCCTGTCAGGTTTTCAGACTTAAATCAGCAGCCAAGAATGTGGCAGTGGACAGCCTCTGGCATTTGTGAATTTCGCTGTCTCTTGTCCCCTGGAGCTTGGCAATTAATCAGGAGAAACGGGTGGCTGGGTGGGAAGAGAAGCTTTTGCTGAGACTTCAGGCGCTGCTTGCAAAGCTGTGCAATAACGGGTTGGAGAGCCACCCTGAGAAGCCCTTAGCCCTGTCGGTTATAACTCAGCAGTCCCAACACCTTTTCCAGATTTGTGGGATGTGTTTGATCTGAGCAAATTGAGAACATTGTTCTTTTCGGCATCCATGGCCACCAAAATAAAATTCTCTTGTGCTTCCACATTGCTGCAGCTTAATGGTTTTCATTTTCATTGTTTGCTGAATTCAAGCAAAATTACATGATGCATATATGTGTGATATATATACTCATGTATAAGTTGACCTCATGTATAAGTTGAGGGCAGGTTTGGGGGTCATAACTGCGAATATTGACACAACCTGTGGATAACTGGAGGGTCATTTTACAGGAAGAGGACAGCACCAGTGCAGCCTTAGGACCTCCCCACCCTGGCTGCTGCCGCTGTTTCCCCATCAGGGCATTGAAAACGGTAGACACGTCACTGCGGTGGACACAGAAGAGTGGTTCGGTACTTCTTTCAGGTTTTCTCAAAAGAGACTAAGTTCTTGACTTTTGCCGCTTTACTTAGAGAAGGGAATGGTCCTTGACCCCTGGATAAGTTGACCCAGGTTTTTTAAATTGGCTTTTTGAGTAAAATTTCTAAACTTATCCATGGGTAGATATGCTCGCCAGACCTGAATATTTGTGCCTCAGCTGAGGGGGAGGGGGAGAGGGGGGAGAGTCCAAGAGAAAGAGAGAGAATACATTTTGAGATGACAAGATTCAAAAGCCACCATTTATTCTCAAAAGAGATACTCTTGTTTTTATTACTTTTCTTTTTGTATCTTATTATCAGTATATTGTAATAACACAGGCCCTCTGGTTATTGGGATAGAAATGTTGCAGGCCAAAAAATTGGTAGGGATCCACTGTGTCCCATTAGTACAGTAATGCTTGGGGAGGCTGACAAAGGTCTCTATCGTTTGAGAATTAAGCTCCAGCCTCCTTGGTGATACTAGAAGAGACCCATCCTGCTACTTCTACTGTCCTGTAGTAGAGCTGCATGGGGGCAGGGAGCAAGATGACTTTCTTGGCCTGTCCTGATCTTTCCAGATAGGAAACAGAAAGAGACAGAATGTGGGTTGCCCACGGCTCTTAGCATAATTCACTTCAGTTACTTAACAGTTTCTAACCTGTCCTGATAATGTTCTGGTTGAATCACATTTTGGAATTATTGTTGTTAATTGCTATCGGGTTGGCTTTGCCTGGTGGAGGGCTTCTTTGTGAGAAACCTCCAAAAGTCATCAAGTGCCCTGCTTAGGTCTTGAAAACTCATGGTGTCCTTACTTGAGTCAATCCCCCTGTGATGCAGTCTTTCCTCCTTTCCTACTACCTTCCATTTTGATAAACATCCTTGTCTTTACCAAAGAGTTGCCTCATCTCATGATACGTCCAAAGTGCAACAGTGTCCATTTAGTCATATGGGATCCTAGGAAGAATTCAGACTCAATTGTGAGACATTCTTCGTATTTTTGGCAGTGTGGGCTATCTCCTTCAATGCCACATCTCAAATGAATTTGTTTTCTTCCTATCAGTGTTCTTCATGGAGCCCCTGGTGGCACAGTCCTGTGCTGGCAGGACTGAAGACCGACAGGTCGCAGGTTCGAATCCGGGGAGAGGCGGATGAGCTCCCTCTATCAGCTCCAGCTCCTCATGCGGGGACATGAGAGAAGCCTCCCACAGGGATGATAAAACATCAAATCATCCGGGCATCCCCTGGGCAACCTCCTTGCAGACAGCCAATTCTCTCACACCAGAAGCGACTTGCAGTTTCTCAGGTCACTCCTGTTCTTCATTCTCCAGCTATTGCAAGGATGCATAGAAATCAGAAAGGTGAAAGCATGGACAAATCTACTAGTTGAATATCCCTCACCCAAAATGCATGGGATCTGTGTTTTTTTTATTATTTTGGAATATCTGTATTTGCATATACATACAACTTGGGGATGAGGCCCAAGCCCTCCAGATTGATTCTATGCTACCCTTCCAGCTCAAATATAGTAATAATATAAGGTTTGCTATTATCTGTGGTTTTAGGTATCTGTCAGGGGGGTGTCGCATGGAAATGGATTTGTTTTCAAAATAAGATGAAAATTCTCTCCCATTGCCAGTTATCAGGACTAAGAAACGGCCATTACATGGGTTCCAGGAGCACTTCCCAGTTTCAGCACCAATACTGACCTGGCAGAAAGAAAGAAAATGGCCTGTACCTGTTGGAAAAGAGCTGAGAGTGGCAGCGATGACAGCTAAATTACAGCATAGAGGTCAGTCTCCCTCCTCCCAGCGAGTGAGTGGCTGTGAATGAACCTGCCATTAGGGGACCCGAGGAAACGCCTTGGCATTCCAAAATTAATCGATATAAATCTTGAGCGCTCGCATTTGTCCACCAATTACATGGGATATTTATCACAGCCGAAAGGGACACTGATCTTTGACCCAGGGACGTTTCCCGCAAATGAATCAATTAGTTCCGAAGCCCTTGGGCCAACCGGGAGGGCTGCAAGGAAAAGCTCTCATTGGGGAGTGAAGGGAGGGCTGGGATTCATAGACTTCCAAGCTGGGCTAGAAAGGGACCAACGCCAAACCCTCTCTATCCAGAATCCACCAGGAAAACCCACAGATATCCTTTGCCTGAAATTAAATTGCATGTCCATCAAGTTGTTAATCATTGTTTGAATGCAAACTGTAGCTTTTTGATCATTTTAAAACATTTTTATTTGCATCTTTCTAAACAATAACCCATTTGGTTCTAGGAGACAAAAGCAGGATAGAAATGCAGAATGAACTAATGAACATTTTTCCTACCAAAATGTTCATTTCAATGCTAAAAAGTCGCTGGTATTATTCTCACTGACTTTGTTACAAGGGATTTCATAGAATCATAGAATCAAAGAGTTGGAAGAGACCTCATGGGCCATCCAGTCCAACCCCCTGCCAGGAATATTGCGTTCAAATCACCCCTGACAGATGGCCATCCAGCCTCTGTTTAAAAGCTTCCAAAGAAGGAGCCTCCACCACACTCCGGGGCAGAGAGTTCCACTGCTGAACTCTCACAGTCAGGAAGTTCTTCCTAATGTTCAGATGGAATCTCCTCTCTTGTAGTTTGAAGCCATTGTTCCGCGTCCTAGTCTCCAGGAAGCAGAAAACAAGCTTGCTCCCTCCTCCCTGTGGCTTCCTCTCACATATTTATACATGGCTATCATATCCCCTCTCAGCCTTCTCTTCTTCAGGCTAAACATGCCCAGCTCCTTAAGCCGCTCCTCATAGGGCTTGTTCTCCAGACCTTTTATCATTTTAGTCGCTCTCCTCTGGACACATTCCAGCTTGGCAATATCTCTCTTGAATTGTGGTGCCCAGAATTGGACACAATATTCCAGGTGTGGTCTAACCAAAGCAGAATAGAGGGGTAGCATTACTTCCCTAGATCTAGACACTATGCTCCTATTGATGCAGGCCAAAATGCCATTGGCTTTTTTTGCTGTCACATCACATTGTTGGCTCATGTTTAACTTGTTGTCCACGAGGACGCCAATATCTTTTTCACATGTACTGCTCTCGAGCCAGGCATCGACCCCATTTTGTATCTTTGCATTTCGTTTTTTCTGCCAAAGTGGAGTATCTTGCATTTGTCACTGTTGAACTTCATTTTGTTAGTTTTGGCCCATCTCTCTAATCTGTCAAGATCGTTTTGAATTCTGCTCCTGTCCTCTGGAGTATTGGCTATCCGTCCCAGTTTGGTGTCGTCTGCAAACTTGATGATCATGCCTTCTAGCCCTTCATCTAAGTCATTAATAAAGATGTTGAACAGGAACGGGCCCAGGACGGAACCCTGCGGCACTCCACTTGTCACTTCTTTCCAAGATGAAGAGGAAGCATTAGTGAGCACTCTCTGGTTCGTCCATTTAACCAATTACAGATCCACCTCACTGTATTTTGCCTAGCCCACATTGGACTAGTTTCCTTGCCAGAAGGTCATGGGGGAGCTTGTCGAAGGCCTTCCTGAAATCCAGGTACGCTACATCCACGGCATTCCCCGCATCTACCCAGCTTGTAACTCTATCGAAAAAAAGAGATCAGATTAGTCTGGCATGACTTGTTTTTGATAAATCCATGTTGACTATTAGCAATGACCGCATTTGTTTCTAAGTGTTTGCAGACCACTTCCTTAACAATCTTTTCCAGAATCTTGCCTGGTATTGACGTGAGGCTGACCGGACGGTAGTTGTTTGGGTCATCCTTTTTTCCCTTCTTGAAGATTGGGACCACATTGGCCCTCCTCCAATCTGCTGGAACTTCTCCTGTTCTCCAAGAACTCTCAAAGATGGTTGCCAATGGTTCCGAAATGACTTCCGCTAGTTCCTTCAATACTCTTGGGTGTAGTTGATCTGGCCCTGGGGACTTGAACTCATTTAGAGCGGCCAGGTATTCCTGGACGACTTGTTTCCCAATTTGGGGTTGGATGTCCTCAAATCCTTCATCCACTCCGTCTTGCTGAGGTTGAAGATGACTTTCTTTTTGTGTGAAGACCGAGGCAAAGAAGGTATTAAGTAGTTCTGCCTTTTCCCTATCCCCTGTCAGCATTGCCCCATCTTCTCCTCGAAGAGGCCCTATCGCCTCCTTGTTTTTCCTTTTTCTACTGACATAAGAAAAGAAGCCCTTTTTATTGTTTTTAATGTCCCTGGCAAGCCTGAGCTCGTTTTGTGCTTTAGCCTTGCAGACCTTTTCCCTACAGGTGTTGGCTATTTGTTTGAATTCTTCTTTGGTGATTTCTCCCTTTTTCCAGTTCTTGTGCATGTCTCTTTTGTGTCTCAGCACAGTTAGAAGTTCTTTGGACATCCATTCTGGCTTCTTTGCACTTGTCCTATTTTTTCTCTTTGTTGGCACAGTTTGCAATTGTGCCTTGAGTATTTCACTCTTGAGAAATTCCCATCCATCCGTAACTCCCTTATCTTTTAGTATCTGTGTCCACGGAATGCTGCTCAGCGTTTCCTTCATTTTTTGGAAATCAGCTCTCCTAAAGTCCAAAATGCGGGTTTGACTTGTCTTAGTTTTGGCCTTCCTTTGTACCTCAAATTGCAGGAGCACATGGTCACTTGCCCCTAAGGATCCTACCACTTCAACCGCATCGATCAGGTCCTCCGCATTTGTTAGGATGAGATCAAGA